AGACCAGTGTCCATACTCCCAGAATTCTCTGCAATGGCCATGCTGGCTGGGGAATTCTGGGAGTTGAAGTCCACGCATCTTCAAGTTGTCAAGGTTGAGAAACACTGGGTTAGATGATGCAGTTATGGCCACCAGCTTGACTTTGGGGACACTCCCTGCAGACGCCCTGGTTATTTAATTATAAACAAGGACCTCTGAGGAATAAAGTTGGGCAACCATGTTCTGGAGGCCCCACAGCCCACATGGGGTAGTGATGAAAGTGCTGGAATAGGAATGGGGAGACCCCTTTTGAAGACTCCCCTGTGCAATCCTCCTCCCAGCATCCACTTCCTGTAAAGCATGATTGGGAAAATGGGTGGTCCTCCAGATGTTGCCACCATTCAATGCCCATCAAGCTGCCCAGAGACGTCTGCAGCAAAGCCGGACAAGGTCCAGCAAGCTCCGCCTCATTGTGACATCATTGTTCAAGTCCCCCTTCTTAAGTCTGGGTCATCCTGCTGCTGCAGATCGGGTCCTGTGTGGTGACATCACCACACAGGCTCAAACACCACAAAAGAGCTCAGACACCACAAAAGCACCTTGTGATCTTTGACTGCCAGCAAAAAACAGGCAGGGTGACCAAGTTGGCTTGTTTTCTGCCCGTAAGTTATTGGTTAAAAGCCAACTGGCTACAGCGTACTGCTGCCGGCCTGTTTTTTTCTTGGGTTTTTAAAAGGTTTTCTAGGAATCGAGTTTTGCAAATTGGCTTCAAGGTCTACAGTGTGGACGCTTTTGAACCTGCCAACAGGACCACAGTGATGAGTAATGTTGAAAGCTGATCTTCACAAATGCCCAAAAGGCTGAAGAATGTCCAAGTATGCAAAAGGTTCATACTGATGTTTTCTCTTCTCCATTTTACCCATCTCTGCTCCACTCCCTGTATCGATGTTCTCCTTTAGTTCCAACACCACAACGCTCCCAGTCTGGGGTGTGCAAAACGTTTCCACACTGAACCATTTCCAACAGGACATGGGCCACTTGGAAGTGTTTCAAGTTCAAAACAGAGTGATTTAGAGTCGCTTCCTACTCAAAACCTGTCTGGAATGATCAGGGGTTAAAAAACTCTTTTGAGCCCACAAGAGCCTTTTCAAATTTCAAATGGTTTAATTTGGGCACATTCTGCATCCTTCCAGCCTGTTTCTTCCAGCAATGGAAGCACCAGCCGCTTCTGTTTCACTCACAGTCAAAGGAGGTTGTTTTACTTTGATTACGTGCCATCAAGTAGTTTTCAACATAAATGCTGGATGACTCCTAGGGTCACCTTCTCCATGACGATCTATCCCTAACCTGTTCTTTCAAGTCTCCTAATGGTGCCCCATCCCTCCCCCTTGCTGCTGGTCCCCCTCTTCTCTTTCCTTCCACCTTTCCCAGCATCAGAGCCTTCTCCAGGGAGCCGGGTCTTCCCGTATGTGTCCAAAGTAGGATAATTTGAGCCTGGTCATTTGTGCCTTGAGTGAGAACTCTGGATTGATTTATTTGATGATCCATTGCTTTGTTTTCTTGGCTGTCCATGGTATTCTCAGGAGCCTTTTCTAACACCAAAGTTCAAAGATGTCAATACTCCTCCTATCCTGCTTCTTTAAAGTCCAACTTTCACTTCCATAGAGTGTCACAGGGAACACCACGGCTCGCACGATCCCAATCTTTGTAGGTATACACACATCACGGCATCTGAATAACTCTATCACACTTAAGGCAAAGCAAACTTACTTTTCAGGAAAGCAGAAGAGTTTTATACTGTAATGCAGAAGGTAGCTATCATTTCAGGCGCTGTGCCTCAATGCAAGTGGTAGCAAATGCAATTTTCAGAAATTAAAACTGGTCCCGGGCTCACTCTGAAATCTCGTGAGATATTGCTATTCCTGCTATTTCACAAGGCCTCCCAGAACACCAACCTTTAGGGGGAGTTGGTGATCTTGCAAGAATGCAGCCATTTTTAATTTGTTAAATTCATATTTAATTAATTTGGGGATCACACCGGTGCCATCTAGAGGTACCGCAAGTGACAGGATGCTGGCTCCATTACAATGCACTTGAATAGCCAAATTCTGCATTTCCTTTCATAACATTGGCAATAACCTAAACACAGTACCCTACCAACTAAAGAGGTGCAAAATATTTTGTTCTGAAAGCAGAATATTATAGGGAATACAAGAATAGCCCATTTTTTTTCTGGACCACACTTCTGGCAGTTTTTTGGAAGTGAATTATCCAAAACAAGAACAGATAATCTATCTGTACAAATGACAATATAACTGATTTATTCCTTATGCGTATTAGATGATTTATTGATTTGGGGATAATGTATTATTTGGTTTGTCTTTTGTTAACCTTTACTTACACATACAGGGAGTCCCCAGTTTAAGAATGAGTTCTGTTCCCAAGGTGTGTCCTTAAGTCAAATTTGTCTGTAAGCTGGAACAGTATTATTGTATAATACTGCATAAGTAGTATTGTGTAATGAACTCGAATGACTGTGTATTTAACTCAAATCATTGTGTATTTAACTTGAATTTTGTTACAATAGGCTCCGTTCCTAACCGTGGGTCATCCATAAACCGGGCATTCTTAACCCGGGGACTACCTGTATTCTGTTATGTGCACAAGGGTATCAAAGCAAAATACAGTGGGGCAAACAAGTATTTAGTCAGCCACTAATTGTGCAAGTTCTCC